TCATGATTTATTTAAGGATCTGACCCAAAATGCAGAGAACCACTCAGAGAGCAAGGCAAAGGTTTAACAGGTTTATTGTGGTAAGGGTTGAGGGGTTGGATCTGGTACTCAGAGGGGGGGTGAACCGGAACTGGAAGGGAGGAGGGAAGTTCACAGAGGTGAGTTCAGGTACCGTGGGAATCTTGGATGCCGTAAGGATTACACTGGTAAGGGACTCACGTTTGGGGGGGTTCTTCTCTCACTTCGAATCCAGTCTGTGTGGGTTGACCTAGTGAAGAGGGGACTCGTTGGAGAGCGGACAGGTAGACTTTCATTAGACCCAAAGGAGTTGAGAGGACTGTCACTCGGAAACCCAGGAGAACTTGGAGGTTAATCCCCTGCTCAATGTGAGACTCAAACAATCCTTCCAGGGGAAGAAGGCCAAAAATCCTGCTTGCAGGATGACTTCTTGCCGAAAAGGCAAAGACAAAAACAAGGTTAAGCTCAGCAAAAAACAAAGACTAAGTTAGACTTAGCAAAACTCAGCTTGGCTAGAGTACCCAAAATTTGGCTAACTCTCTAGCCCCGAGGTAATGATCCAACGAGACGCAGGTGTGCAGGGAGGACCAACCAGGACAGGGCGCCACGTGGTGGTGGAGGAAGGGACAGACACAAACAACAGACCACACAAACTGGATTCCTGACACTGATCCAATATGGTGGACACTGAAGGGGGGAGGGGGACTGAGACACACTTAATATTATAAGCGTTTTGATGGCATTTTAGTCAAAATGTATTAATCAAAAACATAATTAATGTGCACAAATATTACCCATTACTTTTGTAACATTCAATAAATCGGGGTATTTTGATGGCAAAAATTAATGTCAATGTAATAACAAGAAACACCAACTTGCCCGAAAATTTTAAGAAAAATAACAAAAGTGCTTCTATAACAAATGAAAAGAACCTTAGAGGCATTAATGCTGATACTGGCACTGACATTTTTTTGTTTATAAAACCTAAATTAATTGTTAACTAGACTTATGAACTTTTTAACTTTACTTTTTATTTTTTCATTTATCTTTTTACCTTTTTTTCTTGGCTTGTTAACTTTTTTCAAATTAATTTAGAGTAGGTAATATATCATTCAAGGGCTCATATAATTGGCAAAACAAGATGTACTGCAATGCAACAGTATCTATGCTGAACAGCTGGATATAGATCTTGCCTTTGACTGACAGAGCGACCCACTTAGATCTGCAATTTTGGTATAAAAACATATATAAACATTGGCATTTAAGATAAAAATAAGTTTTCCTCTGTCAATCTGCTCTATCAAGAACTCCTCAAGTGGAAAAGTTTGAATTTCATCTGGTTTAATTTCATAAAACCTTCTTTGAAGAACCTTTGGCATTCAGATTATTAATCGATTCATCGAAACATAATCATCAGATTAATCAATTAATCATTAATTAATCGATTAATCATTAGTTTCTGCCCTACTGTCTTGCAGCCGTTTCTAAAAACAGAAAAAACCTTAAAAAACAGTAAAATTTAAGCAATAAAAACAACTTCAATGCCCAGACAGGGGTCCGCCATGAGGTTGGGGCCATATGAAAGACATTGATATTGATATCCCCCCCACAAAAAAAAAAATATGTATACAAGCTTTAGAACTGCTATGAAGATGCACTAAAGGGTATCTTTCACATTTTCAATGTAATTTTATTGTAAAATTACTACAAAGGAAAATTATCAGAACACGAAAAAGTTAAATATACATTAATTAAGTTGCATAAACTGGTGGATAAAAAACTTGGATGGTCAATTTAATTATGCTTTGTTTCACTGTTTATTGCTCAAAATGAGAGAGAACACATTAATTATTTATTTTATTGTTGGATTTTCTTTTTATATTTGAAATATCTATTGGGACATATCTTTTCCTCTTCTTTTGGGCCCCACCTCAATCAAAGGCCCTTAGAATCTTCCTGACTTTTCCCCCCTAATACAGTACCCCTGTGCACAAATTTTATTAGTTTTTTGACAATACATAGTAAAAAGTAACAAGTGTTATTTTTTAATTCAATTGAATATAACTGTTAACATTTGGTCCCGCTCCAAATTAATGTAAAATTTCCTCTATAGCTGGTGTCAGATTCTCAGAGTTCATTTTGCTCATATTGATGTCAAAATCAAGAATACCTCTCAGAGACTGGCAACAGGGGGTCCGCAACCCCTAGGGGGTCCACAAAGGTCCTGCATGGGGGTCGCAAAAGTTTTGATTAGACTTTTTTTGTATTTGCTCCTCCAATTTTTTCCACTAATTGACATGTCTTTAAATCAACATTAGCATGAATCCAACAGACTGTAGTAAACAGATAAATGGAGGCAGAAGATGTCTTTCAGTCATCAATGCTCACATTCAG